AGCATCCTTTGTGCGCGCTCTGTGGCGGCCGGGGGGGGAACTCGCGTCTGGGGAGACTCTGCAGGTGGAAGAACTTGTGCGAGAGGGAAAACCCCGCGGCTAAAGGCGCCGTGGCCGAGGCGGGGGGCACTGGCCCTGCGAGGGGACGAGCCAGCACCCGGGGCCACGGGCCACGGCTGCAGCCACGCCGGGGGCCACGGCCACCAGCAAACCCTCCTGGGCACGGGGCTGCCCCGGCCTTCGGACTGCAGAGATATTGCCTCCGCCCTCGGCGTGCACGGGGAAGTCAGAGCGGGTGCTTCCCCTCGATGTGGACTCTTCTCCCGGAGCCACATCATCAAGTTTTAAACCTCTTTCCTTTTTATTATTTTTACATATTGCACACATTCACAGCTACTGCTGACTCCACACACTCCCCCCTTTTCGCAGCACGCTCTGATAGGAGTTGCCAGACAGGTTAGAGAAGGCAGATTATACATTGCTGACAGTATATAGAAATCCTTATTTCTACTTTACGACGGAAAGAACAGGGTGGTCTTAGGAAAATCACTCAAATAATTCCTTGTGTATCGGTCTACATTTTGTTATCAAAAAACAGAGGCTCAAAGGTCATAAGAAGAAACCAATAATATCAACGTTCACCTCAAAATACACATATGAGCTGGGCATGTGGGACGGCAACGTGAAAATAATCCCCTTAACCACAGCAGGTCCTCTCCCCCTGTGTATACACACACACAACTCCACAATGCACACGTCTGATACACCTGGAGTATCCAGAACACACGGACAACCAGCTAGAGACCACCAAGAAATAACAAATCCAGCAGGTTAAGGCTTAGTCCCTTTGCCGAGTTGCTTTGGAGCCGCACAGTCCTCTGAAGGCTCCCCTCCCTCCTATACCCCACAATTTGTTCTGTATTTCTGGGAGACTCATCAGGTTAAACGCAATAGGTTTAATTTATGGCCTGGGTATGAATTGAAAATATGTGATGATTCTGTAAAAACCTCCTGGGGGTCTATTGATTTCTCGGGCGTGCTCTGGGAGTTTTCAAAACCACGTTATATGCAATTTTTTTCCCTTGGGAATATGCGATACCGGGACAACCTTTGCTAGCCAGAGTTTAAGGAATTAGGGAATAGACTTGCAGACAGGGTTTCCTCCACGGCAGCTCTAAAACTCGAGGACACAAGTACTAGTCCTAAGAACTTCTGGGGGGGTGGGGGGTGTTTGCCCCCTCCTTGGCTGCCCTGGGGAGGAGGGCTCGGCTGTGCCAGGCCAGTGACCCCAGGGGGATGCCTGTCTTCAGCTGTGCCCAGAGATCAGCCAGCAGGGCAGATAAACGCAGAAAATGAAGAACAAAGAGCCCCGCTGCTGGGTCCCCTCCCCGGGTCACCCACCGCTGTCTGCGCTCACATCCCCGAGCCTGTGAGGTGGAACTGCCGGGGGGGATGGCCACGGGCCACTGTGGCCACGGGCAGCAGCTCCCCGTCCTCCCGCCAGGCTCAGCACCTGGCTCTTCACGACAATTAGTTTTTCATCTTATCTGCATGTACAGAAGTTTTGTGCCACGGTAATATAGAGATTCTCAAAACAAAAGGGGGTTTTTAGTAATATCGGGGCGTGTCCCAGGAAACACACGGGATGGTCTCGTGCACCCCAGAGACACGGGGTGCCCTGGGGGGAATGTCCCACGGCCGGGCAGGGTCACTCCTCCAAAGGCAAGGATCTGCTCCCACCGCCCCCTGTGATTTGTCTTATTATTTTATGTACGATTAATCTGTATGATCTTAACAGCTTCGGGGGCCAGATTATTTGAGCAATTGCTGGTATGCAAATCCCATTAGGTTCAACAGGAGTTCTGCCACACATCTGACAAGGCTATCTGGCAGCAAATCTCACTCCTGCTTGTGCTCCTCTAAGAGATCTCTCCTCCCCTGGAAGCCAGAGTGAAACTTAATAGGGAATTACACAATGTGAATACACACTAAGGAGAGACCGGACTTTTAAAATCATGCTGGCATCCAAAAGCCGTTAATCTTCTTAGGTAATGATGAAAAATGCAGTGGAATGATGATGTAACTCACCAAGGGGGAGTGAGGAGCTCTGGTGAATGGATGGCCTGAGTAAAACTTCTGCTCTTCTTCTGTTTATCCCATTCTCCACTTAATTACCGTGCCCAAATATTTTATAAAACACCCCCCTGTAAACAGCCTTTTCAGTGCTGAAAAGAGAACAGCAACTCGCACCAGCCGGCAGAGAATGCCTCTTCCTGTCCTTTTCTCCATTTAATTAATTCCACAAGGAGAGGGGAAGCGACCCGGGGCAGCAGGTGGGTTGTGAACAGCAGCGGGGGCTGTCAGGAGATCCCTGCAGGGGCAGGAGTGACCGGTGTTCCCACGGGGGCTGGCAACCGGCGGGCACGAGTGGGCAACCAGGAGGCACACAGCACCAGCCCGCCCCTGCCCCTTGGCCACCCCTCGCCGGGATCCTCCCACCAGTGCTGTTAGTGCTCATTTCCATCAGTTTGGCCACAGAAACTCCCAAGAAACCTCAGGTTTCTTGAAGACAAACCCACAATTTTCACATTTTTAATTTTTTTTTTTTTATTTCTTTTTTTCTCTGCGAATTCCCACGCGTAGGAAAGGGGTGTGAGATGCTCCAGAGAGCTCACTTTCCATACTTCTCTCTACGCATGCCATATTAAAACACCCCCTGAAAAGCCCCCGGGGCTCACAAGGCTGGGCCGGTGGCCACGGGCCAGTGCCAGCCTCCTGCTTCGGCTGTGCCCCTCCACAGCCCGGCTCCCTGCGGGATTGAACTGGGGCAGGTGAGCAGCCCCTCTCCAGAACAACTCCAGTCTGGCCCGAGGGCAATCCAAGGACCTGGCTGAAGGTTCCTCAGGAAGCAGAGGGGAGCAGGGGGGCAGGGACCCCCTTTCCCCGGAGAGGAGGAGCACACGGGCTCCTTTCAGACACCCAAACCCTCTGTCCCCAGCTGCAGCCTCCTCCCTACTTCTTAAGCAGAACAATTGGAGAAAAACCACGCAAAATGTTCATTTTTACAGAAGCTGCCAGTGCCACCCCCTCCAAGCGTTTCTGTGACTGTTTTATTTATCTGCTGCAATAGAGGCCGGGCTGCTCCTCTCTGACCACCCGAGCTGGCCCTTGCCAGCCCCCACGACCCCCCCACAAGTCCCTTGGACTCCTGGCGCTCGCTCGCTGCGAGTCACACAGAGAAATACTTATTGTAAAGAGAATGTGCTCCATAATTAAAACTTTCTGCTATTAGGGAGTTTATGATCTAATGATGCTATAGGAAGCGGAGTTTATGGTCACTGAATCAGTACTTGATTCTGAGAGTGCAATTAGCAAATCACAGAAACAGGGTATCAAAGAGTGTCGTTAGAGCCAGAGTCGCCCTCCTCTAATGAAATGCTAGCTTCAGTAGTATAATTATTAAGATCACCATTTCACTATTATAGTAATAACTGCAGATAATTGCACAATATTATCTTTCCCAGAATCATCTTCTCTGCATAAATTGAAAGGTTCAAAATATAATTCACAGGGCAAAACCCTCCCAGGAAATCCATGGGGAAGATCAGAAATAAACAGCAGAAGTGATGACTTGCCTTGATTGCAGCAAAGACATGTGGCTCCATCATGTGCTGCTTTCAGAAGGTGGTATCTCTGCCTAATTGGCCCACAGGGACAGCGCCGTACTGCGGAAGAATAAATTGGCTGTGTGACCAGAGGTACGGAGAGTCCACTGGAGTTAAATCCTGGTTACAAACAAAAGTAATGGTTACATGACATCTTTGGATCTATTTTTAATTAACTACCAATAAAGCAGGGCCGTAATTATCGGTTGCCCTGAGCCCCTCCCACCCATGATATATAGCTGGTGTGGTTATTACCTTCGGTGCCGTCCTTGTTCCATCTTCTGGGAGGGTCTCAAGGAGGACACAGATGCTCGTTGGGGTTGATGTCAAGCGAGGAGGCTTCGCTGACCTGGGGAGGTTACAACTTTCCTCAGCACCTGTACAGCCAAAACAGAGCAAAGAACAAAAAGATGTTATGTCTCTGCACATTCACAGAAAAAAAACAAAACCAAACCTTTTATGAACTTTGAGAACTTTTCTGCTGACACCTGAGCTACCAGGGGACTTCAGGGATGGGATTTAGCAGCCCCCAGCATCTCATCTCATCTCAACCTAAAGCAGACATCAACCCATGGTGGGTAAAATGTGCCTTGGAAGTATTTATTCCTTCTCCACTGACTGGAAATCGAGCTTAGCTGCCCACCACATTTACAGATACCAAAAATGAGGTGAAATGCTCCTTATCCTGGCTGCCTCGGGGATTAAGCAGGTACCCTGGCGACTCTGCTCCCATGTGCTTCAGCAGCATCTACGACCAAAGTCAGGCCGGGTACAACTTTCTCATGGGTTTGGGCACAAACCCCTGTATTTCCACTGATTATTTTTTATTGTGTAGGTAAAGAAAACACCATCCATTCCCTCTGCTCTAGGAAATAACTGCAGACTGCCCACAGGGGAGAGGGAGGGCAGCTCAGGAGCTCAGTTTGTGGCATTAAACACAACCAGCGGGCCTCTGGCATGACCTGCTGCTGGTGAAAAGTCCATTTCCAAGCAGCCACCACTGCACTGATTAAAACGGACTTGAACTTAAAAAAAAGAAGTACAGGAAAGATTTATTAGCACTGAAATTGCATTCTTGCCTGGAAGAAGGACCTTTTTTGATACCAAATAATTTCTTTCTGTCTAAAACCTGGAAATTTAGAAAGCTTTTCAAAATGCATTAGCATTATCCAAATCATAAGTAAGTTGGGATGTTAATGAACGTGGCTTCCTGAAAAAATGCGAAAAAAACAAGCAACATACAAGGCTGGATCTCCAGCAGCTGTAAGAAGGGGTGGTTCTTTACACTCCTGTAACTTATTTCCTGTAAAAAGTAACTTTAATGTTCTTGGCCTTCAACCTGCACAAATATGAGCCTGTGCAGCGAGTCACCACGTGTGAAAATGCCTGAGGAGCCGTAGGTGCTGCAACCTCTTCAGCACAGTCTGTCATCTACGCTAATAATTATGCTACAGACAGATTTAGCTGCACCCATTTTACAAACAGGAAAACTGAAAGGCAGCTACATCTGCTTGGCAGCTGTGTCAGCCTGAGATAGGCACAGAAATCCCAGTTTCCACATTTATTTTTAGCCAGATGAGATGGAATTGATACGAAAAGCCCAGTAAAATAAGTATGAAAAAGAAGCCATCACTCTGATGGTGAGGAATCTGAAGTGTTCTGTGCTGAAGATCGTCTCTGTGCAATATTAATGATTATGGATGATGGGGAAAAATGTTAAGCACTGAAAAAAAAGAAGAAAACTTCAGATGTGCCTCACTGGGAAACTAGAAAGGACACAGCTTCAAGTAATGATTATTTTTATTTAGGAAAACATTATACAAGGGACTCTTTCCAAGGAAAGCAATCTGGGTTGTGTCTGGGCTGAGTACACAATGTCATCCTGTTGCAAAAAAAGCAAACATCATACCAGGATGTATAAACAGGAGTGTCATGTGTAAGACACATGAAGTAATCCTCCACTCCAGGCAGCGGTGGGAAGGTCTCAGCTGGAGAACTGTCTCTGGTCTGGGCACAGCGTTGGGAGGGAGCTGGGGACCAACTGGAGACAGTCCAGGGAGAGCAGCAAGAACGGTCGGAGGCCGAAAAAAAAAAAAAAAAAAAAAAAAAGGAAAGATTGAAAGAGTCGGGCTTGTTTAGTCTGGGGAAGAGATGGGTGCAGGAAGGCGTGCAAAGCCTCCTGGAATATGCTTGAGGCTGCTGCAGGAGGAAGGTGATGGGCTCCCCTCAACGCCCACCAAGTAGAGGGCAAGGCAGAGAAACGGCTGCAGAGAAAAGAACTTTTCTGCTCAGTGTCTGTGCGTGCTCCTGCCCTGCCCGCAGTGATCTCTGCATGCTGCTTGTAAGGGCCCCTGAGACCCTTGGAGATGTTGGTTCCTATCACCACCAAGCTAAGATTAGAGATATTAAACATTATTTGGAATAGACCTATTATCCAAAAAAGCAGCAACACTGTTACCTGTTTTCTTTCCCTTTTTTTTTTTTTTTTAATCCCTACCACAGAGCAGGGGAGGTAGCAGAGCATCCTGAGCTAAGTTCAGCATGGAGGTGGCTAATCTCTCCTTCATGCTTCCGTACTTCTAAAAAACTGTGCAAGTGAGCAGAAATCCGCTGTATTTCAGACATCCTGTGAAAGGTTGTATCCCAGGACAGTTGCCCCTTGGGGAGGAAGAAATTTGTGACCTTGTTTAGCTGAGCAAGCACATCAGCTGCTGGAGCAGCGACGCTGTAAGCATTTCCAGCCCAGCTGGAAAGGAGGTCACGTTGCAGGCGGGCTACCTGCCTCGCGGGGGGCTCGCCGCCTGCTAGAGGCCGGGAAGCGGCACAGGGATTTATGAGAATCCACAAAAGAGAGAGGAGAGTCGTGCACGGCTACTCCCAAAGCTGGAAAATCACTTGCACCGTCCTGCTTAATGGTAACAAAGCCAACCAAAGGTGGGATGGGGAGGGGGAAAGCGCTCGGCGGCGAGAAGGCGCGGGGTGGCAAGTAAATGAAGCGTCGAGATCTGCTCTTTGCTGCAAGCAAAAAGTTTCCCTCGCTGAGAGGATGCAGCAAGGAGAGTTAGGGGTTTGTGAGACCAGTTTTCATTAGGGTTTACATTGTAATTTTGCCTAATTAGTCTCCAATAATTAATGCTGTGTGTGTAACGGAGATGTAATCAGACAAAATGCTGGTAAGTAAACCCCATGGAAACCATACATCTTTTGATAGTAATGATTATGTTCTTTTTTATTATTAAAGATCCCATTAGAAAGAATTTATTATTTTTCCCCTTTGTGAGAGAAATAATAAACATTACATCAGATGCTCTTATTTTTGGTATTGAGCAACCGAGTATATGTAATTAGCCACAGTTAAAAAGAAATTTTGTCTGAGTGGCTTTTGGGGAACATTACATCCAAATTACAACCCCGTAGATTTTTTTCATGTGAAAATACACTATCGATAAATAAATACAGCTTGTCTGGAAAAAACATTTAGATCCTGAAGAGAACATGCAGGAAAGAAAAGTGACGGCTCTGAGGGCTGGGAAACCCACTGGACAGTGGTCGGTACCACCACAACTGCCCTCACAATAACTTTTCTAGGGTATTTGCTTCCTGGAATCCACTCGTGAAGGCTGAAGCCCAGTGCCCAGCAGCACCCCAGGAGGTGCCCTCCGCAGGGGCGACCCGCACCCAGCCCTCTGCCTGCTGAACCTTCTCCTCTCCCAGCGGGGTTGGGCTGGATGCTCACAGACACGTTGAAGCGTCTCCGTGCCGACGAACCCCCAACCCAAAAAGACTCATTCAGACCGAAGAGATGAGATGTGCAGCTTTGTTCCAGTCAGATCCAAGGCGGTGCCACAAAACTCCGAAGGACCTGGCTGTGTGTGAGAGATGCAGTGCTTAACCCTGCGGGTTTCACAGCAAATACTGGGTTTGTTAACGGTTCTCTTGAATGTTTGAGGCTGCACATGCTCTCTGTGCCCTTGGCAAGTGTGACTACGATCCTGACCCGTGGGCAGTGGTGCTACCCCCAGGCTTTCTGTGACGGGGAGAAGGAGGAACATCCTTTCGGTTGCAGTGTGGCCTCATGTGACAACCAGAGGTGAAGCACACTCCAGGCGGCTCCGCAGAGCCTTTTGGGATGAAGCTGCCTGACCTACAAGCTAAGATGCTTCACAAGCATTATCCATGCCAGCAGTCAATAAATGTGACAGCAGTGGCACTGCCTGCATGGGGAAGTGAGGCTCCTCAGCATCTAGCGATAAGATGTCACATAATACAGCAGTCAGCGAGGGAGGAAATGAAATGAGAACTGCTAGAAACGCCGAGTGTTTGTTCTTTGCTTTTCGCCACTGAGAAATCCCTGGGGTGCTGATAGCATCCTGCAGAACGACGCGCCAACACCTGCCTGCCTCCCTCTCTCCCACCGCCGCTTAGGAGGAACAACCCACCGTGTGGCAACTTACGGGAAAGAAATCGCCCCTGAAGTATGAGAGAGGCCATCAAAAATTCCTCTTCAGGATATAAAGGATGTACCTACAGCTGGAGAGACTCCAGAGAGCTGAGAGGGACGCGGGTGGGACGGGTGGGGAGAGGCCACAGGGACGAGCAAGGCACCGGGAGGTCTCACGTGCGCGGAGAGCACCAGAGCTTGGCTCGTTTATCCCAGTGAAACTGAGACAGAAGGATGCGACTTGTCCCTAGCAATGTATCCCAGGTGAACACTGGGGAGGAAGAAGAACACTATAAACAAAAAGAGAATGTCTTCTAGAAGGAGAAATGGGGTTTAGCTAGCCTTTAAAATTAAACTGCCTGGAAACTGAGCATCTCACTGTCAGGGCAGTAAGGGTTTGCCTTCCAATGGGAGAAGCAATAAAAAAAATTGCTTTTAATCACAAAGTCAGTTTTCCTCAGGAGGTTCAGAAACAGGGAATATAAGATGGTGTCCCAGGGCTGAAGAGCTGGAACCCAGAGCCTGCTCTGCCCTTCGACAGCAGCCTGGCAGACGACAGCAGCAGGACGTACGGATGGGAAGGCTGCAGGAAGGTCTCATGGGGGTAACGCACCGTGACCCACCTGCTCCACACCCACCGCTCACGTTCCCCAGTGGGAGATGCTCAACAGGGAGCAGCAACGTATTTGCTCACATAATCGATACCTACCAGAGCTCGGGCTGCTTCTGAGAGCCACGTAAGCCACGAGGATTGGCAGGAGAAAGGCTGTGCTGAGTTACCTGTCAGGTGTTCTGCCTGGACGAGAGAGCGGGCAGCCAGGCGCCACCACCGTGGAAGAGCCACAACTGCCACACTCGTCCTAAGCTCGGCAGCTTCAAGAACTGCCTCTTTCTTCACAAAGGTATTACAGAGACTCGCCCAAACACACTGACAGT